GTGCGTGCATTCATGATGGGGATACAGAATGTGCACTCCACTGGATACTTTGATAGATCCCAGGAAGAGGGGTAAACTGACCATATAGCCCTTGTTGCTACAAAAAATAGACCCATAGTTTAAAGTATCACATGACCTTTGCTGGATTGGAACACGGACACAAGGGTAGTTCTATATCAGCCTAATCAATATGTGTCTATTAGCTTTGCTTATCATGTGAAAAAGTATAACTGTTGCAATTAAAAATGTAATAGGCATACATTCTTTTTTGTAACATCAGAAAGAGTTAGAAGCATTGTTAGGTAATTATTATTTTTTTTGTGACAGCTGCTACTCATTTCTTCCCCTTGTGTAATAGAAACCCAAATAAAAAGTAATAGCTCTCCATAGGGACACAGGCATCAATAATATCTTGACAAAGGTAAATTCTCTTTTAAGCTCTACTCAAAACTGAAAGATTAGAAAAAAAAAAAAACATTGGCCAAATTGGGTTTTTAACAATAACAGCACTGGTACTTATCTCAGGAAAAATGGCAGGTGATAGCAGGTCTGTAAATGGAAGGACTCATCCATTAATTATTTAAAGCATCGCATGACTTTTGCTAAATTAGGTTTCAATCCAACAGACAGTACTATGTAGGCCTACTGTACTTCTTCAGCATGGGCTGGTATCTCTGGAAGGCATGGGACACACCCCAGCAGTCCTAATGAAAGGGAACCTTTTTTGACAGAAGAATTAAATTTTAAATAAGCATGCAGGCTTCTATCGATTGAATGCTTTATAAGTTCAGTTTTGGCTCGATTGGGTGGTCATGTGTAAGAGTAGGCTCGATTGGGTGGTCATCTGTAAGAGTAGGCATGACTAGCCTCTTAGTAACCTGTAGTTGCAGGGGTGGCTATGCATCAGGGGAAAAGTCTTCTTTCCCTATATTACAAAAGAGAGATATTTCTCCTATAGGAACTTTCCAGTTAGCACCCCATAGATGGTCTCAAAAACTAGGGTCACCATTCTCCTTCATTGTGTCTGATTCCATATAATTCCTCTCTCTCTATGTGGGACAGGACTCGCCAGCAGAATGCTGATTCATTATTGTTCCATGTGTGCCTCTCCTAATGGGTAGTATCTCTCTCTCTTTCCCTTTCTCTCTCTTTCTATATTTCTGTCTCATCAGCAGAACGCTGATTCATCGTTGTTCCATGTGTTTCTCCTAATGGGTAGTTCCTCTTCCTCCTTCCTCCTCTTCCTCCTCCTCTTCCTCTTCTTCTTCCTCTTCGTTCCACCTCCAGAACTCATCTTCCTATTCGCTCTTCCTCCTCCCCCAGAACTCATCTTCCTATTCCCTTTTCCTCCACCTATATACAACATTCTACACCATATCATGCATAACAGTGTGCTCTCTCTGGATTAGGGAAATCCACCACTCCCAGAGAGAGCAGGCCATTTCCTTAACCTGCTGGGTACATATAAACAGGTACATGCATTCATCTTTGTTTAGTACAACAGCTGTAAAAACTATTTGGTTGTAGTACTGACTACAATATAATGTGCCATTTTAAATACTTTCATGAAAGTTCAATATAAACATAAATTCTAGCAAATAATTTACAGTCCAGTGTAAAAATAACCCACAGTTACAGTTGCTGTCCTTCCCTAGCCAAGGAATTTTAATTTGCTCTAAACTTTTCTTTACACCAAGGAGTTAGACTTTAAGTAGTTACCTGTGGAAACAAATGGCAACCACCCCAATCTGTAACTGGCCTTTGCAGCAAGGAGCACGCCTGGATGGGTGACGCCTGTCAAAAAACAAACAAAAGTTACCAGCCAGCAACAAACTGAATTACTCTGTCTAACAGTTCACATTGAAAAAAGGGGTTTAGTTTGCACACATTTGCAAATACATACATAAGCTACAGAAGCTACTTCATGGCACTCCAATATATCTGCAGTCCTAAGTCTATAAATTTTGAGAGCCTCAACAGTTGGAGTACATATATAATAATAGACAGATTGAGGGACTGTATGCCTGGAGGGAGCCCACCCCTCCTTAAAAGACACCCAGCTATAGCACAATGACAGCAAAGGTATGCAGTGCGTCCCCTCACCAATTAACCAACAGTACAAACTGGCCTACGCCACAAGCAGCACATGAAAGGGCAACAAAATAAGTAGCCATCTGCCAATTTCATATCAACACAAAAATATGGAGCCTGTCACAGCCTGCTTTCAATGTGCAGCTAAAGTTGTATTGATCTTCATACCTCACTGTGACCATTTAATATCGTCTTCATCACACAAATTGCTGAAATTAGTCTTTTTTATTGCACCTGCCTGGTTGCAGTAGCTGAGGATTATTAACACAAAGCAAACCACAGATGATTCTTTGCAATACTTTTTTTACTCTGTTTTGTTGCCTTTTGTAATATGTAGCTAATGCAATCCTTGCAAGCTGTCCCACATTGCCCCTCTCCCTCTGCTTCCCTCTTCTACAGGCTCATGTTAGTCAACTAAGCCAACAGCATTGGTTTAACATTCTGTTAATAGAGAATAGATACTGTCTATCCCTCTGTCACCTAAAAGCACCATACTCCTCCTGTAAATCTGGGTAAAAAAATTTGCATCTGAGAGTTTAATAATGTCACACATAGTCTCAAAACACTGGGACACCACCATGAGGATATCCCAGGTGATCACTGAGAGTTCAAGACATCTTGAATTGCTCTGTAGATCGGACAAGTTAAGCTCTCATGTGAAGTGGCCTGCCATCATGTATGTGCCACCTTGCCATTGCTGGCCACCATGTTATCCAGTGAGCTGTAAAAGATAAAAAGACTTGTGTAGTTCTACAAGGGACCCCTGGAACTTAGAGGCCCATTTACATGAGCTAAGTCAGGCAGGATCTGGGACCTCATGCATTCCTAATTTGTAATATTAAAGTGATATTAGGCAGCATGTATCTCCTTCACATACTACTTGTCCAGCACTGAGACATTCAGATGCTGCTACTTTTTTCTCTCTCCTGAAACATTTAAGAAGCAAGTGATGGGGATCATTCTAGGAATTTCTCCAAAAATGGATGAAAAAGTATAAGGGAGAAGTGTGTGTGTGACGGAGGAAAGGCAGAACAGAACACACAGAGTGGATGGCAGACGCACAAAGCTTTATTGAGACAAAGAGACAGCAGTCCTTCAATAAGGGGGGTGGCAGAGAGGGTGGATTTGCCACTAAAGGGTAATGAGGGGGCCCCACCCACTTATAGTCCACTAGGAGAGCCAAGGGGGTGTCCCTGTAACAGGGGTAGTCCGACACAGGAGGGGGGTGCAAGGGGTCACCACCGCAACAGTTCAGGTAACACAGGGGGGAAGCAGGTACTCACGGATCCAACAGGGTGCCTGGTCTCCCAGGGGTAGAGGCACAATGCAGCTACCTGTGGAGTCCAGATCAGGTGGGTGGCCTCTGGCTCTGGCAGGCAGGCTGTGGTAGTCTCTCCCCCTTCTCTGGGGTCTCTGGCAGGCAGGCTGTGGTAGTCTCTCCCCCTTCTGTGGGATCTCTCGCAATGGCAGGCAGGCTTTCTCTGGCCGTCTCTTCCTTCCTGTGGGGTCTCTGTGATGCTGGGGGTGGGCTTGCAGAGTCTAGTCACAAAGGTCTCACCGGAGCTTGAGATCCTTTGATGACTGCACAATGATGACACGGAATGAGGCCGGAGCGCCCAGCACCAGCCTCTTAAACTGCTGCAGGACGCTCCCCGGTCGCCTTGGCAACCGGGAGGGGGGAAGGGAATACTAGACCCCAGGGAGAATCAGGCTGGTGACAGGGACATCCTGGAAGGCAGGGATGATGTCTGCATAGATGAAAGGCAAGTTGGGAGGTTTGCGGAGAGCTCCCAGCCAGCTGGCTGGGAGGGAGGGGGGCCCAGAGTAATTTGATTAGGCCACTGAATTAGGCCATTTGGCCTAGTGACACAGGGGACAATTGGAACAATACAGAGCAGGACACTGAGGGCATGTGATACAAGGCATTAATAAGGGGATTAATAATTGGCAGGCTCCTATACCGTGACAGTGTGTTTTCAAAAAAGAATTCTGACTGATAAAAAAGTTATACTCAGGACTGGCGTTGCCTTGTGTCTGGTATGGCAGCAACCTAGATCTTCTGTGCATGGAGAATATATTAATGCTGGATTTTATAATTCATTTTTGAATTCAGATAATTTTAGTTACAATTCATTTCGGATTAGTTGAAATTTGTTACTACTGCGATTCAGAAATTCGGATACATCCAACTCTCCAAATAAGCAAAATTTAATCCGAATTTCAATTCGTAACAAATTGAACATGTCTACTTAGATATAATGGAGCTCGACTCTTTGAGGACTCTTGGGTGTAAGCCATCTGGTCCAGTTGATTTATTCATTTTTGGTTTGTCTAAATGTTTCTGGATTATGCCAGTTTTGTCAATACTACCCCCGTTAAGGACTTAAGCTTCCTAATTTTCCTTTGTATACACAGAGCTGAAGAAGGTATTTAATACATTTCTCTATGTCCCCAGTAACAAGTATCTAGTAAAGGAGCAACATGCTTAGATCTGACCTTTTTTACTATTATTATATTTAGAGATGAGCGAATTATTCAAAAATTCGATTCGACTGATTCAGCGAATTCGTGAAAAAATTTCGATTCGAGTCGAATATATTCGCTGCGAATTTAACTTATAAAAGGGTGTTTCTAGGCTTCAGAGAGCCTTTATATTAGTGCAGAACACTGTACCTTTAATTTAAATGCCCTTGGAGTCTGCTGGGGAAGAAAGACTGCTGACGGAATCCGTGAAGAGGAGTAGCAGGAGAAGGAGCATCTGAACGAGCGGAATATGCCAACAAGCGACAACAGGGGCCCATGACAGATTACGGGCCTGGCAGCAGCATGAGGAGTCGGTACAGGGGGTCCATGGCAGATTACGGGCCTGGCAGCAGCAATGGGAGGCCCGTAATCTGCCAGCACCCTATGACAAAAAATGTAACACACCAGCAGTGTGAGGAGACCTGAAAGTGGCACATGGCAGAGTGTGGCGATGGAGACAGCAGCAATGGGAGGCGGTTCAGGGACCCATGAGACACTGTGGACCTGGCAGCAGCATGAGGAGGCGGTACAGGGGCCCATGGCAGATTAAGGCCTGGCAGCAGCAATGGGAGGCCCGAAATCTGCCAGCACCCTATGACAAAATGGAACCCTGGGCTGGGGCAGGGAGAACCGCCGTATCTTTATCACGGTTTTCCCAGGCCACCGAATGGCGACGCTGCATATGCTGACGCAACGCTGTAGTCCCAACATGGGCCCCCTGGCCACGCTTGACTTTCTGGCCACATAGTCGACATACGGCTAACGTTACTTCCTCGGGCGGCTTGCAGACGAAAAAATTGCCACACAGCACCGCCGAGTAGGAAACTTTGCCCCGCTACTCCTCACTGGCTGACTGCTACTTCCTCCATGCACACCGGCACCACTACTGGCCGTGGTGGGTAGGCTGCAGTGGAGCTGGTGCTCTACTCCGTGGCCGTATGCCTCCACTGACACTGCTGCGACCCTGCTGCCTCCTGGCAGCAGCAATGGGAGGCCGTACAGGGACCCATGACACACTCTGGACCTGGCAGCAGCATGAAGAGGCGGTACAGGGGCCCATGGCAGATTAGGGGCCTGGCAGCAGCAATGGGAGGCCCGTAATCTGCCAGCACCCTATGACAAAAAATGGAACACACCAGCAGTGTGAGGAGACCTGAAAGTGGCACATGGCATGAGACACTGTGGACCTGGCAGCAGCATGAGGAGGCGGTACAGGGGCCCATGGCAGATTAGGGGCCTGGCAGCAGCTATGGCAGGCCCGTAATCTGCCAGCACCGTATGACAAAAAATGGAACACACCAACAGTGTGAGGGACCTGAAAGTGGCACATGGCATGAGACACTGTGGACCTGGCAGCAGCATGAGGAGGCGGGGTTGGTACTGGGGCCCATGGCAGATTAGGGGCCTGGCAGCAGCTATGGGAGGCCCGTAATCTGCCAGCACCCTATGACAAAAAATGGAACACACCAGCAGTGTGTGGGAGACCTGAAAGTGGCACATGGCAGAGTGTCGCAAAGGAGACAGCAGCAATGGGAGGCCGTACAGGGACCCCATGAGACACTGTGGACCTGGCAGCAGCATGACGGAGGCGGTACAGGGGCCCATGGCAGATTAGGGGCCTGGCAGCAGCAATGGGAGGCCCGTAATCTGCCAGCACCCTATGACAAAAAATGGAACACACCAGCAGTGTGTGAGGAGACCTGAAAGTGGCACATGCAGAGTGTCGCAATGGAGACAGCAGCAATGGGAGGCCGTACAGGGACCCATGAGACACTGTGGACCTGGCAGCAGCATGAGGAGGCGGTACAGGGGCCCATGGCAGATTAGGGGCCTGGCAGCAGCAATGGGAGGCCCGTAATCTGCCAGCACCTATGACAAAAAAATGGAACACACACCCAGCAGTGTGAGGAGACCTGAAAGTGGCACATCATGCATGAGAGACACTGTGGACCTGCCAGCAGCTGTAATGAGTGGAGGCGGTACGGGGCCCATGGCAGATTAGGGGCCTGGCAGCAGCTATGGAGGCCCGTAATCCCCAGGGTACCCTATGACAAAAAATTGGAACACACCACCAGCAGTGTGAGGAGACCTGAAAGTGGCACATGGCAGTGTGGCTGATGGAGACACTGTGGACCTGGCAGAGCAGCATGAGCATGAGGCGGTACAGGGGCCCATGGCAGATTAGGGGCCTGGCAGCAGCTATGGGAGGCCCGTAATCTGCCAGCACCCTATGACAAAAAATGGAACACACCAGCAAAGAAAGTGTGTGAGGAGACCTGAAAGTGGCACATGGCAGTGTTGGCGATGGAGACAGCAGCAATGGGAGGCCGTACAGGGAGCCCATGAGAAGACTCTGGCCTGGCAGCAGCATGAGGAGGCTACGTACAGGGGCCCATGGCAGATTACGGGCCTGGCTAGCAGCAAATGGGAGGCCCGTAATCTGCCAGCACCCTATGACAAAAAATGGAACACACCAGCAGTGTGAGGAGACCTGAAAGTGGCACATGGCAGAGTGTGGCGATGGAGACAGCAGCATGGGAGGCGCCGTACAGGGACCCATGAGCACTGCTGGACCTGGCTGCAGCATGAGGAGGCGGTAACAGGGGGGAGGGGGCCCATGGCAGATTACGGGGCCTGGCAGCAGCATGGGATGGGCCCGTAATCTGCCAGCACCCTATGACAAAAAATGGAACACACCAGCAGTGTGAGGAGACCTGAAAGTGGCACATGGCAGAGTGTGCGATGGAGACAGCCACCGAATGGACCTGGACTCCAGCAGCATGAGGAGGACCGGTACAGGGGCCCCATGGCAGATTAGGGGCCTTCTGGCAGCAGTCTATGGGAGGCCCGTAATCTGCCAGCACCCTATGACGAAAAATTGAACACACCAGCAGGTGATGAGGAGGCCTGAAAGTGGCACATGCCCCCCAGAGTGTGGCGGATGGAGACAGCAGCAATGGGAGGCCGTACAGGGACCCGTTAGACACTCTGGACCTGGCAGCAGCATGAGGAGGCGGTACAGGGGGCCATGGCAGATGGGGGGCCTGGCAGCAGCATGGGGAGGCCCGTAATCTGCCAGCCACCCTATGACAAAAAAATGGAAACACACCAGCAGTGTGAGGAGACCTGAAAGTGGGCACATGGCATGAGACATTGTGGACCTGGACTCTGGAGCAGCATGAGGAGGCGGTACAGGGGCCCATGGCAGATTAGGGGGCCTGGCAGCAGCTATGGGAGGCCCCGTAATCTGCCAGCACCCTATGACAAAAAATGGAACACACCAGCAGTGTGTGAGGAGACCTGAAAGTGGCACACATGGCAGAGTGTGGCGATGGAGACAGCAGCAATGGGAGCCGTACAGGGTACCACCCATGAGAGACTCTGGACCTGGCAGCAAGCATGAGGAGGCGGTATCGGGGGCCCATGGCAGATTAGGGGCCTGGCAGCAGCTATGGGAGGCCCGTAATCTGCCAGCACCCTCTATGACAAAAAATGGAACACACCAGCAGTGTGTGAGGAGACCTGAAGTGGCACATGGCAGAGTGTGGCGATGGAGACAGCAGCAATGGGGCCGTACAGGGACCCATGAGAGACTCTGGACCTGGCAGCAGCATGAGGAGGCGGTTTAGGGGCCCATGGCAGATTAGGGGCCTGGCAGAAGCTATGGGAGGCCCGTAATTTATCCCCTAAATATTTCTGTAAACTATAATCTATAGATTCTTTAAGAATATTGAACACGCCACACACTCTCGCAGCACTGCGAAGGCGATTTGTGTGATATCGTTTTATTTTCCAGAGAATATGTGCAGCACTCTCATTACGACTTACCAATATCCCCATCCAACCCACCCATTGTTACTCACATTTGAGGGAGATGTTCCGCGATGGCGTTGTTAGATATCGAGCCATTCGTTGTGGCTACGCTACAGGGGACCTCTCATGACACACTCTGCGACTCCCTGGGCATTCAGAATGAGGACTCAGCTCGTATGCCTCAATAGATAGCCGTATGGCAGATTAGGGGCCTTGCAGCAGCTATGGGTAGAAATGGCCTCCTATGTATGCCAGCACCCTATGAGAGATATAGGAGATAGCACTCAAGCTGAGTTGTGAGTTTACTGCTAGTGGCACATGGCGATATATGTGTGTGTTAGTTTCGTGATTGTATCGGGTTGGGTTGTCAGGTTTTGGGGCGCGGAGGGTGGGGAGGGAGTAGGTGGGAGGGGTATAGGGGCCCATGGCAGATTAGGGGCCCGGCAGCAGCTATGGGAGGCCGTAATTGCCACACCCTTGAAAAAAATGGAAACCCCCATGTGAGGAGACCCGAAGTGGCCATGGCAAGTGTGGCGATGGAGCAGCAGCAATGCGAGGCCTCAGGGGGCCCATGGAGATCTGGGGAAACT